AGTGACCGAAAATTATTTGCCTAAAGTTGTTTTTCCCCCCAATTCTGTATATAGAACCTCATGTATGCTAGGCAAGCATTTTATCACTCAGCTATATCCTTAGTCCCTTGCCAGTTATGTTTATAAATTCAGTTTCCCAAGTGAGATAGGGAATTATATGAAACTTAAGTAAGACACAATTATTTAATATAACGTAAGAGTTTATCATCAGCAGTTAATACATCTATATGGTTGAATAAACAGATACTGTTAAAACAACCTCTTATACAAAATGATTACAAGCACATATTCAACTCTAATTTGAAGCTGGTCTTCAAGCATGCCAAATCCTCAATGACATTTTGTAGGAAAAAATATCTGGAATCATCAGCTATCTTCTAAGTCTGGTTAAAGGTCATTGTCCTCTGTCAGGGCTAATAGCCTGCTGGATGAATTTTCTAGACTTTATGCCAGTTAAAGTCTTACCAGAAATGGTAATGACTTCCTCAACAGGAACCATATGTAAAAAACTTAAAAAGTACCACACAACTTTACTGGGCCTGGTGGTGCATGCTTGTAATCCAGCAACTCAGATGCCGAAGTAGGAGGATCCCAAGTTTGAGGTCAGTCTCAGCAAGTTAGCAAGACCCTGTCTCAAAATTAGAAAAACAAGAACTGGGGCCGGGCAACAAGAACTGGGGCCGGGCACAGTGGTGCATACTCATAATCCCAGCAGCTTGGGAGGCTGAGACAGGAGGATCACAAGTTCAAACCCAGCCTCAGCAAAAAGCAAAGCTCTAAGCAACTCAGTGAGACTCTGTCTCTAAGTAAAATACAAAATAGGGTTGGGGATGTGGTTCAGTGGTCAAGTGTCCCTGAGTTCAACCCCCAGTACTGCCCCCGCCCCCGCAAAAAAAAAAAAAAAAAAAAAAGAAAGAAAACTGGGGATGTTGCTCAGTGGTTAAGGCTCACTGGGTTAAATCTTAGGTACCAAAAACAAACAAGCAAACAAAAAACAACTTAGGAGTCTGAAACAAGAGGATCACAAGTTCATGTGCCACCTGGACAACTTAGCAAAACCCTGTTTCAAAAAATACAGAGGCTGGAGATACAGGTCAATTGGGAGAGTGCTTGCCTCCCCTCGCATGCACAGTTCAATCCCCAGCAGCATCAAAAAAAAAAAACAACAAAAGGGAGCCTGGTGCAGTGGCTCTGGAGGCTGAGGCAGAAGGGTCATGAATTCAAAGCCAGCCTCAGCAACAGGGATATGTTAAGCAACTCAGTGAAACCTAGGCTCTAAATAAAATACAAAAAGGCTGGGGATGTGTTTCACCGGTTAAGCACCCCTGGTTTTAATCCCTGGTACCAAAAAAAAAAAGGGCTGGGAATGTAGCTCTTTGATAAAACACACCTGGCCTGAGTTCAAACCTCAATAGCACAAAACAAAACAACAACCCCCAAATCAGTAGATGTTGATAAAATGTTTGCCACTATTACTTACTATTTTGTATACTGGTGATTGAACTCAGGGGCACTCAACCACTGACTTGCTTAACACCTCACCGTTGCTGAGGCTGGCTATGAACTTGTGATCTTCCTGTCTCAGCCTCCTGAGCCACTGGGATTACAGCTGTGTGCCACCATACCTGGCACCAATATTATTAACTGTGAATAAACATACATAAGTATCATCCCTGTCCTTTCCAGGTGTACAGTAAGAAAGGCAAATATATTCCTAAAACAACATGGTAAATATTGTAATAAAATCTAAGAATTAAGTGGGACATTGGAGGAAAATGCAAATAATTACACTTGTGGAAGCTGAGCAGGCTTTCCTAAGATGTCTGAGTTGAGGACAAGAGGAAAATCCAGAGTGGGCAATACAAAGGACTGGGGAGGGCGAAGTGTGTGAGGAAGTCGCAAGGTGCAAAGGAAAGGAAGTTCTTGGCCGCAGATCAGAGTTAGGGAAAGAAGAGCGGAATGTTGCCAAGTTAGCCACGTTGCTGGGAAGGTCATGTGCAGTCAAATGGTCCAAAATTTCTTCAATTATCCAAAGCATTTGAATTTTAACCTGTAGGCCATTTGTTTCTGAATTGAACTGATTGTCAAGAATACTCAAGAAGCTGATTTATTTTTGTTTTTATACTTAGGGGATAGAATCCAGGGGGCTTTACCCCTGAGTTACATCCCTAGCCCTTTAAAAAATAATAATAATAATTTTTGAGACATTATCTCACTAAGTTGCCCATGCTGGCCTTGAACTTAGGATTTTCTTTCCTCCTAGAAATTCTAAACCTCCTAGAATTGCAGGGAGTATAGGCATTCACCATCACTCCTCCAGACCACAGAAACTTTTAAAAAAAGACTGAAAGGCCCTTTCTTCCAGACATTACAACTCATTATAGGTGAGTGGGACTCAGATATGTGTTTGAAAAGCTGCTAGGGTGATTTTGCTGCAGAATATTTTGGGGCCCCTTCTTTGGGGGAAGAGTGACCACTTAAGAGTGCGATACTTGTAAGTATGGCCTTAGGCTTTAGCCTGAGCAATTCCATTTTAAAACTTCATTTTAAAATAAACCTTCAGGGCTGGGGATGTGGCTCAAGCAGTAGCGTGCTCGCCTGACATGCGTGTGGCCCGGGTCCGATCCTCAGCACCACATACAAACAAAGATGTTGTGTTCACTGAAAACTAAAAAATAAATAAATAAATAAATATTAAAATTAAAAAATAAAATAAAATAAACCTTCAGTCTCACTAGGAAAGCCTACAAAGCTCTCCAATATGTCATCAGGCATAGCCTGATAAAAGCAAGTCACTTTCCACAACCCTGGTAAGAGTCAGGATGAAGTCACATGTCATTTGTTGTAACCCTGATAAGAGTCAAAAGTGTAATATCAGGGCGGAAATCACCAAACCATATGTCCTGACTCTAAATGCAAGATGTCACTAAGAAACCTGGTGAGGGCTGGGGAATGTGGCTCAAGCTGTAGCGCGCTCTCCTGGCTTGCCCGGGTCACTGGGCTCTATCCTCAGCACCACATAAAAACAAAGTAAAGATGTTGCGTCCACCGAAAACTTAAAAATAAATAAATAAATAAATATTAAAAAATTCTAAAAAAAAATGAAAGAGACCTGGTGATAGGGACCCAAAGGGCGACCAGGAGCTCCCAAAATTTAGTATAAATGATGGAACAAATGAACAGACTCTGGATCCAGCTGACACTGATGCACACAAGCTTGAGCCTGATGAGGACCTAGACTGACATCCCAACTCTTCTCATCATCTACCTAATCCTCTGCATTGTCCTCACAACTCTCAAACTCTACAGCAGCCTCTTGACCCTGGTAAGGACTGTGACATTGTCTTAAAACAGTGTCCTCAGCCAGCCACCAACTCCACACCAGGAGAAGCCTCTAAGGGTTCCTGACCTGGTTGCTGCGGTCTGAGGGAGTGTGCATCTGCTGTACTTATGATCTAAGGCTTAAGACTCTAAACCTAGCACTTAAGCTTAGCATGCAGAGGGAATGTCTGTAATAGGTCTGTCATGATTAAGTGTTTGCAGTGCTTAAAAATTAACTTAGAATTGTTCGCCTTGAATTGATCATGTCTATTGCAGTACCCAGCATTAAGTGTTATTTCTTGATTAAGAACGTATAGAGCGAAAAGTGTATTGAGTGATTTTCAATAAAGCATTGAAAAAGGGCATAGCACTTGGACATTCTTTCTCTCTCCCCTTGACTGCAGATGTTACACCTTTGCCTACAGCGACAATACCTTTCTAAGGTATTAAGTCAGCAGAAGGAATACTGACTTCCTCCAGGTCATTGCTTAAGGTTTAAAAATATTCCAACCCCCTCACCTTCTGAATTTTTTCTTACCCAAACACTTGGCAACATTTAGGTTATCTACTACATTACCTGAATCCATTCATTAGAAGGTAAGCAGAACAAATGTTGTGAGTTTTCTTCTTTTTTTAAATTTTAATATTTATTTATTTATTTTTTAGTTTTCGGCAGATACAACATCTTTGTTTTTTGTATGTGGTGCTGAGGATCGAACCCTGGCCGCACGCATGCCAGGCGTGCGCGCTACCGCTTGAGCCACATCCCCAGCCCATGTTGTGAGTTTTCTACTTGCTGGTGATCCCCAGAACCAAGAACACTATGGCACCTTTCAGGCCTTATAAATGTTTTTCCTTTTTTCTCCCCTTCCTTTCCGGGGAAGAGCACTGAACCCAGAACCTCCCACATGCCAAGCACTCTACAACGGAAAGATACCCCCCAGGCCCTAACTTAATTTTGAGGGGGGGGGGCTACCGGGGATTGAACCCAGGGCGCTTAACCACTGAGCCACGTCCCCAGACCTTTTTATTTTTTGAGACACGGCCTCGCTCAATTGCTGAGGCTAGCCTCCAATTTTGTGATCCTGATCCTCCTGCTTTAGCCTCTAGAGGCACAGGGATTAAAGGCGTGAGCGACCACGCCCCGCTAAATCAATGTTTTCCAATGAATTCAACGGATGGGACAATGAAAAAAAAAAAAATCTGGCTAACAGGGAGCAGTAAAAAGGCTGTGGAGTATAAACCTGAAATATTGACGTTGGCAGTTTGCTTAGAAAGGAAAAGGGAGAGTGTCCCGGGAACAAGTTTAAAAACATACTGAAAGAAGGAAGGCTAGGTTTTGTTTTCAAGCTTCTTCGTGATTTTATCACCAAGCTTCAAGGTACAAAATAAACTCAATAGCTTCCCATCTGGTCACCGCCTACCCCAGCTGCCCGCCCACCTGGGCTGCAAGAGGCGCACCCAGGAAAACCCGGAGAACTGATCCATTTTAAGGATTTGCGTCCGAGGGTCTGCAGGTGACCCCGCAGGCATGCGCAGTAAGCAGAGTCCTCAGCGTGCGCGGGAAGCTGGACGGCGTCCGTTTATGATTGGCTACCGCGGCGGACTCCCACCCACCGAGGTACAACACTGGATGCTGATTGGACGCGGCCTCAGAGGCCGGACGCCGCCGGGGGGCCGAGGGAGGGGAGGCGGGAAACATCCTGGTGGGTGCTGGGTCGTGCTGCTCCCTCCGTTCGTCTGTAGATAGGTTCCGAAATGGCGGTGCAACCGAAGGAAACGCTGCAGTTGGAAAGCGCGGCCGAGGTCGGCTTCGTGCGCTTCTTCCAGAGCATGCCAGAGAAGCCGACCACCACCGTGCGCCTCTTCGACCGGGGCGACTTCTACACGGCTCACGGCGAGGACGCGCTGCTGGCCGCCCGAGAGGTGTTCAAGACCCAGGGGGTGATCAAGTACTTGGGTCCTGCAGGTGAGACTGGGCGGCGCGGGTTCCAGAGGACCGGGCTCCCGGGGCCTGTGGGCGGCTCCGGGGCCTGTGGGCGGCTCCCGTGCCCTGTCGGGAAGTGGGCGGCGGGCAGCTTTCCTGCGCCGAGCTCCGGGGGTGCTAACGATGCTTCCCCCAAAGGGAATTCCGCTTTCTTCGGTGCCTGCACCGCCAGGGAGGAGCGGCCGCGCACCTGGGCTCCCAGCGAACCCTCCTGGAATGTTTCTGGAGCCAGGTGCTCGGTTGCATTTTCCCGCAGTCTCGCCTCGGCGGGATAGATGTCTGTAACTGCATCCAGCAGCCCAGGAATGCGACTTACGATGGTGGAGGTGTTGATAACTTCATTGTGTTACCCACTTCAATTTGCTCACAACAACACGCCATTTTTACCGTTAGTCCCTCTCGGGGACCTGTAATGGACCGCTTCAGGTGAAGGGAAGTGTGGAGAAGCGGTCACCACTATGAGCTCGTGCTGGAGTCGGGCTCCCTGGATTCTGGTTGAGGCTCTCTCGCTTTATTTATGGCTGTGTGATCTTGAAGTGGTCATGGAAACCGTGTGCTTCAGCTCAGGATTCAGTGCTCTCTCTCTCTCTCTCTCTCTCTCTTTTTTTTTTTTTTTGTCACCTGGCCTTACCTGTGCAGCATCATTTCTTCCTGAAGGGCTACAAACTTTTCACTGTGTGTGGCTGGATGTTCTAGATGGTTAATGCTAATATCTTTTCTCCCTTGTTTCTTTGCTATTTCTTGGGGTTATGATAACGGAAAGAACATTCTGGGGGAGTAAAGGAGTTCTTTGCTGATCTTTATGCTGCTACGTGCAAATGGGATGTGGCTGGAAAATGTTTTATTCATTAGATAGAAATTTGTTGTCAGGGTTTTGGACGCTAGGTGAAAAGACCGTCTTCGCTCTCACAGAGCTCCCTTGAGCGGCGAGAGAGCAGAAATAATCGCAGTTCAAAGTGAAGCTAAGATGGAAGTGGAAGTAACAAGTTGGTCAGCAGGCATAGAAGCAGGATCACCAAAGACTGGAGACACCAGAAGAGGCATTACCAAAGATGCCAAATTTCACTTGAGACTTGGTTGACCGGGAGTATGCTGGGGAAGAGGGCCCTGAAAGGTTGATTAGTATTACTGGTGTAGAAAATTATGGGTGCAGGTAGATGGGATCAAGATCATGGACTGGGGGTGTGCCTCAGTGGTGAAGCTGTTGCTTGTCAGACTTAAGGCCCTGAGTTTGATTCCCAGCGTGGGGGTGGGGTGGGGGTGGGGAGATCACAAAAAGCTTTTTCTTTTTCGTGTGTGTGTGTGTGTGTGTGTGTGTGTGTGTGTGTGTCTGAGAGTGGAATCCAGGGCCTCTTGCATGCTAAGTAAGTGCTCTAACAGTTAGCTATATCCCCAGTCCATGAAAGGGTTTTTTATGTTGTAGGCAATGAGAGATCTGAAGACTTAAGTAAATACCCAGTAGACTGTTGGATCTCTTTGGCTGTAGTTTGGAGGATGGCAGAAGGGGGCAAGTGTAGAAGCATACAAGGAGTTAAAAGACCACCCAGGAATAGTTTATGGGTTGCTTCATAATTAATTAATGATGGTCTAAATTGCTTTCTAATTTTTACGTAGCTATTTTATGTTTGAGTTAGAGTAGTTTTTAGCATTTGATGTAAAAACTCTTTTTTAGAACAGGGGATTGAACCTAAGGGGTGCTTACCTATAGAGTCACGTCCCTGGCCTTTTTTATTTTTAATTTCCATTTATCTGTCTATCTATTTATTTATTGGTACCGGGGATTGAACTCTGGGGCACTAGAACACTGAGCCATATTCCCAGCCCTTTTTTGTATTTTATTTAGATACAGGGTCTCACTAAGTTGCCAAGGCTGGCTTTGAATTTGCAATCTTCCTGCTTCAGCCTCTCAAGTTGCTGGCATTATAGGCATGCTGTACCACGCCTAGCTGATGTGAAAAGTTCTCAACTTTCTCGTATAATTTGGATCACTGATTTTTCTAAATACCTATTCTAATACTTGGTTTTTTATTTTTTTTTTTCCTCCCTTCTCTTTACTGGGGATTGAGGTCGGGGCACTTTTCCACTGAGCCAAATTCCCAGCCTTTTTATATTTTATTTTGAGACAAGGTCTTACTAAATTGCTGAGGCTGGCCTTGAACTTGGAATCCTCCTGCCTCAGCCTCCCAAGTGCCTGGGATTACAGGCGTGGTTTTTCTGATTTACATTATGAAAGGAATTATGGGTGCTAAGTATTACATCTGTTTATTGGGAAGAAAATGTAGTATGAACATTCAGAAATCTTATTTTGAAGCATAGATTTTTTTTTTTTTAATATAATGCTTTTATTTTGTTGCCCTTGAAGATTAAAATGTGGTTTTTTTTGCTGGGATATAGCTTGGTGGCAGGAGTGCTTGCCTGGTATGCCTCAGTTCAGTCCCCAGTACTGCCAAAAACCAAACAAGCAAAAAACAGTGTTTTGCAGGGATGTTTTCTTAGACTAACCTAGATGGTCCCTTCATCTTAATCATGTTGAGAATGTGGCTAGAGGTGAATTTAACTTTCCGAAGAGGTCAGCAAAGAAATGTGTGTTATTCTCAAGGATCTCTTTCTTACATTAGAGACTTAATTCTGCAGGCATATTTAAATATTGTTCTAGTCTTTATTTGGGCAGTATAATAAGAATTATAAAAAGATTGAAACTTTATTACTAGAAGTTGACAAAAGTAATTGAAAAAGGGAAGAAGTCCAGCCCAAAATGTACCATTGTTTCCCAAAGCTGGTAAATTATCCGAAGTGAAATGTAAGCTTGGAATATTATTCAGGCTTAAAAATGAAGACCCTAACTAGGTGCGGTGGTGCACCCTGTAATCCTATTGGCTTGTCTGGGGCAGAGGCAGGAGGATCAGAGTTTAAAGCCAGCCTCAGCAATTTAGCAGGTGTGCTAAGCAACTCAGTGAGACCCTGTCTCTAAATAAAATACAAAAATAGGGCTGGGGGTGTGGCTCAGTGGTCAAGTGCTCCTGAGTTCAATCCCTAGTACCAAAAAAAGAAAAAGAAGACCCTGAATTTTTTGATATGTATGAAACTTGAGTACATTATGCTAAGTGAAATAAGCCAGGCACAGAAAAAAAATACTGCATGATCTCATTTACATGTGGACTCTCAAAACAGTCAACTACATAGAAACAGTGGAATGATGATTACCAGGAGCAGAAAGGAAATAGGGAGTCAGAGGGTACAGAGTTGTAGTTATATAGAATTAACAACTAGAGATCTAATTTGCTATCTCTAGTGATCCTAGAGGACTATAGTTAATGTTGTATCTTGCAGATTTACCAAGAGAGTAGATTTTAGGTGCTTTCCCCACAAAAGGTAACTGTGAATTAATGGTTGTGTTAGTTTGCTTGACTATAATAATAATTTCACTATGCATATGTATGTTAAATGTGTTTGAAACACCAGCTACTCGGGAAGATCTCAAGTTCAAGGCCATCCTGGACAACTCAGTCTCAATATACAAAAGGGCCAGAGATATAATTCAGTTTTAAAGTATCCCCTGAGTTCAGTCCCCAGTACCACAAAACAATGTGTTGTATACAATTTAAGATAATGAACAGAAGGAAATAGTTCTTTAAATTATTGCACTGAATACTTAAAATCCATCCATATCTGTCCTACCAGGAGACTGACTTCCCGTATTATTTCTGCAATCCTAAATGCATCTAAATTTTCTGCCCCAAAGTCTTCATACTACTTTGTTCTGTCTCTGTTCTCCCTCCTTTGACTCCTAACAATTGTTCCTCTTTTTTTTTCCTAAACTTTTCTGCTGTTTATTTTTAGTTCGTATTCCATGGAAAACAATTTTCTGTTTGTTTCTGGCCTCCTCATCTGCCCAAACCTGAAATCCAATACTCTTTTGAGAAATCCTATTCAGTATTATATACAAACCAGAGCATTGGTATCACTTGGGTGTTTGTTAGAGTTTGGGAATATGAGGCCCCACTCCAGACTTGCCAAATTGGAATTTTCGTTTAAGGATATCCTCAGTGATTTCTATACATCCCAGTTTCTGAGGAGCCTTTTAGAGTAGAATGATTTCCTGGTTAGGCTGTACTTCCAGTTTTGACAAATCTTAGACCTGTCATTCCTCCTTATTTTTTTTAATGCATTTTTCTTTTGTTGCCCAGGCTGGCCTGTAACTCAAGATCTTCCTGCCTCAATTCTAGAGTATAGAATGTATTCCATGTGAGTATGGAATTACAGGTGCATGCCAAAACATCCAGCTCCTTTCCCTATTTTCTCTTTCAAATGGTACTGAGGATTGAACCTAGGGCCGGGCTACGCAAGTGTTTTTTCACTGAGTCATGTCCCCAGCCTCATAGTAAATTTTAGAATATTTTCATCTATTTAGAAAGAAACCCATACCCTTTGTTAGTTAGTCCCTGTTTCCCCCCAAAATCTTTCCAGCCCTAAGCAGCCAGTATCTACTTGGCATGTAAATGGAATCATATAGTATGTGGTCTTTTGTTTCAAGGTTCATATGTGTTATAATTATATTTCATTCCTTGTGTATGAGGGTACTAGGGATTGAACTCAGGGACTCTCTATCACTGAACTATATATACCCCCAGCCCTTTTTTATTTTTTACTTTGAGACAGGGTCTTGTTAAGTTGTTCCAGCTGGCCTTGAACTTGGGATCCTCCTGTCTTAGACTCTGGAGTAGCAGACATGTGCCATCACACCTTATGGATTTTTTTAAATGATTTTTTTGTCATAAGCACAAGAAAACTTACATGGAGTTCAACTAGTTCGATTAATGGAACAATCAGTCAGTCTGGTTTGCCTGGGACTGATGGGTTCCTGAAACAGGACTTTTCAGTAGTGAAGTTGGGGAAGGCTTGGGCAAACCCAAATGAGTTGTTACCTTCTGTGCTATGCAAAAGTGGGAAATAATTTAAATGGGGCCTGCCATTGTATGCTGAAGTTCTGATCCATAGTGAATGCTGGTTAGGATATTTAAATCTGCTGCAACCTAGATAGGCCTCTGAGAATTTGAGTACTGGTTTTGCTGAATGAAAATCTAGAAAAGGTATTTGTAATTTTCATGCAACTTGCTTTCTAAATGCAAACTACAGAAACAGCAAATCTGTTCAATTCAAGAAAATGTGGGTGTGTTGAACTTACTGAGATGAAAACTGAGGCCTAAAAAGTGCTTTGATAAGAATTTGAATTAGTTGACTGTATTTTTTAAATTGGGAGATTTCATGAAAAAAATTTATATTGTGAGATTCTTTTGAAAAATCTGGGGCTGGGGTATGGTAGAGTGCTTGTCTAGTGTGCTTAAGGCCCAGGGCCCAGCACTGCAAAACAAAAATAAAAATCCACCAAGTTGGAAACTTTGGACAGAAATATTCCTGTAGTTCAGCATTAAGATGGTACTGAATAGTAGCTGTTCCCTCTGACCTAAAGAGTCCAGAGTCTTCCTTTATCACCTTTTTGTTACAGGTCCCATGATTACTTAGGTCTTTGTTGAAGCTATATGCCATCTATCAGATCTATTATCTTGGATCTCTATTGCTTATTTGTTATCTGCCTGGTCTGTAGATATTGCAGTTTGGATTAAATTATAAGAAATGTTCTAAGGGACCAACCTAGAGATTTGAGATTTGAGTGAATTTTAGGATGTCTGTTGGCAGTAGGGATTTCTGTCTGGTATGTAAAATTAATTACCTGATTGGGGCCTAAGCTGTGTCCCAAATTTTGAGTATAAATCTTTTCCTTTTCTTTCTTTCTTTCTTTTTTTTTTTTTTTTTCCTTTTTTTGGGTCCTCCTTCTTTCTCTCTCTCACTAGAGTTTGAACTCAAGGAAACTCAACCACTCTATTCCCTACCACAGTCTCTCTGGATTGCATACAGCTTTACTAGATTCTAAGGCTGATTTTGAACGTGCAGTCCTCCTTTTTCAGACTCCCGAGCCTCTGGGATTACAGGCATGTGCCACTATGCTCTGCTGCCATTTATTTATTTATATTTGTTATTTGTATGTTACCCCCAGCCCTGCCATTATCTTTTCATTTTTGGTGGTGATGGTGGGGCTACAGGAATTGAACCCAGGGAAGCTTACCACTGAGCCACATCCCCAGCCCTTTTTATGTTGAGATAGGTGGCCTTGGAACTTGTAATCCTTCTGCCTTAGCCTCCCAAGTCACTAGGATTAGAGGTGTGAGCCACCAGACCCAGCAGCAAGTGTATACTCTAAACTAATAATTCATGCTATCTGTATTTGACAAAAACGGAACACCCCTTCTTAGCATTGAACCAGTTGGAAACTTTGGACAGAAATATTCCTGTAGCTACAATCCTAGCCATTTTTATTTTTTATTTTGAGACATGGTTTCACTAAGTTGCCCACGGAGGCTTGGAATTTGTGATCCTCCTGCCTCAGCCTTCCAAGGCAGGGATTATAGGCATGGGATACCATGTCTGGAGAAAATTTAGTATTCTACTTGACAGTGTGGGTGGTTTTATTTATTTTACAAAGAAACTGATATCTGCCAATTAAAACCTAGCTGAAACACTTATTTTTCATGTAAGACTGCGTCTCCACTGTGGAACTATTAACATTTTGGACTAAACAAATAACTTGATATTGTGAAGAGTGTCATTTTAAATTTTTTTGTGGTTGTGAAACTGGAGTTTCTCCACTTCTAAGCTGACTGGTGGGTCTGCCTAAGCTGCAAGCCTCTGTAGCTCAGAAAGTCTGTTTCTTCTCTATTACCATTAAGTGACATGTTGCAGCTCTTAATGGCAGACTGTGACCTCCAGTGTTTCAGCAGACCCCAGTAGTTCACTGCCAATTTCTTCTTTCTGGGTTCTTATCTCACGGATTGGAAGAATGAAATCCTCAGGCAAGGATGAATGAGTGTAAGAGTAGGATTTATGCAGTGTAAATAGAAACAGAACTCTAACAGGGCAATAGGGATCTGATAGGGGTTGCTGCTTGAGTGTGCTAAGCTGGGGGTTTATATTAGCACTTGGGACACTGCTATTAGTCCAAATTTTTGCTAATCATGGTTTAGAAAAGTACTGATACTATTGGTTAACCATTGAGTTTGAACTTGCGTTCAGGTCTGACCCATTTCTGTGGCTGCTCACCTGCAATCCCGGCTTCCTGGGGGGTTGAGGTTGGCGGATCATGGATGCTTGGGGGAGCTCCAGTGCTGTGTGGAGCAGGTAATAAATATGATTGGTGACCTGGATGTGTAGGGGACTGTGGTGAAAGAAAGACTTTGCAGTACTCCTTTGAACCTTTGAATTTTGAGCTATGTGAATGAATAATGACTTTTTGGGGTGGTGGTGGTGGTTTTGCACATGCTAGACAAGTGCCCTACCAGTGAGCTACATTCCCAGCTCTTTTTTAAATTAAAATTTTTTAATTTTGAGAAATAGACTAGTACTGAACTTGGAATCTGTTTGTCTCAGCCTCTGAAGTAGCTGGGATTTTAGTTGTGGGCCACTATGCCCAGCCAGCTTTTGGTGTTTTTGTTTTTGTTGTAATACTTGGGTTTGAACCCAGGAGCACTTCACCACTGAACCTTATCCCTAGACCTTTTTATGTTTTATTTTGAGACAGGGTCTTGCCAAGGCTGGCTTTGAAATCGTGACCATCCTGCCTCAGCCTCTTGTCACTGTTCCTGTCTCAAAAAAGGGCCAGGGACACTCTCCTGGGTTCAATCCCCCCATACCAAAATAAAACCACAACAACAAAAAGTTGGCTATATGCACGTACTGATTCTTTCGTCTTTATATTTTTTCCAGAATTTTAAGTTGTAGACTCCACAGGACCAGGGGAGTTAAGTCTTTTCACCATTTTATACCCTTTATCTGCTGTAGCTCCTGGGGCATACAGTAGTTCCTCCAGAAACAATTAATTGAGTGAGTTAGTTACCTGGGGCTGGAAGGATTGTTAGGTGCTTGAACACTTATCAAAATTGTAAAAAAATATTTATTTATTTGTTTTTTAGGAGCAAAGACTCTGCAGAGTGTTGTGCTTAGTAAAATGAATTTTGAATCTTTTGTAAAAGATCTTCTTCTTGTTCGTCAGTATAGAGTTGAAGTTTATAAAAACAGAGCTGGAAATAAGGCATCCAAGGAGAATGATTGGTATTTGGCATTTAAGGTAATTATCTTCCTTTTTAATAAACTCTTTTTTTTTAAGGGTAGAAAAAATTGTAAAGTATTTAACTAGATGTTTAATATGTTAGCCAGATTGTGATAATAAAATGCTTTGAGAAACTTTCATATAATTTAGCATGTGGTTGTTAAAAGGTTACAGTTCATGTGTTCGGAAATTTAGTAGCTCTCCATTATAAGATGTTTTTGAATACTCTTAACCTTGTCACAGTTCCTTAAAACTATTGATAATATCCTGTACATAAAGTTGAATTCCAGCATTAAACAAGGATTTTATTTTACTGTAATTAAAGAATAGCAAATAATTTGCATTGTCTCACTTATGTACACTTGTTATGTACACATTTGTATCTTTGTATTTACTCTGTTAGAATGTATATTTATATAAACCTGGAAATTTTGAATGTTGATCATATTTGAGCACTGTCACTGTGCTTCTAATGCCTTCAAGGAAATTAGTGCAACTGATCTTCCTTATCTGTGAGGCCATGTTTTTGTGCACACACAATACTTACATAAAGTGTTTTCTCAAATACTGGAATAAATTAATGGTTAAAATGTGGGGAAGGTGAGGTTTATTCTTGATAGGAATGAATGTGTAGTAAGAGGGACAGTGCTCTGGATTATAGCAGATTTCATTTCCTCTGTCCCTAATGTCTAATGTATGGCAAGTCGTTCAAACTTCTCCTGTATCTGTACCTCATAAATGGTAAAATTACAAGTTTTTTAAAGATATTTTCTGGTTTTAAATTTCTGTGAGCTCCCCCCACACACACACTCATTGTGTCATATAATATTCAGTATTTTGATGGAGCTGCTTCAAATATAGTGTAGTTCAATCTTTATCCCATATTTCCCCCACTCCATTGTAAATGTAGATATATAATATCTGGAAAAACTTAGCATCCCACATTGTAGACTTTGCTAGGAATTTTTTTTTTTTTTTAAGTTTTGTGGTATTGGGGATTGAACCCAAGGGCCCTTTACCACTGAACTACATCCCTAGCCCTTTTTATTTTTTATTTTGAGACAGGGTCTCACTAAGTTGCTTAAGCTAGCCTCAAACTTATTGTCCTCTTGCTTTAATCTCCTGAGATTATAGTTATGTCCTACCATGTCCAGTTTGGTCCAGATTTAATCAGCAATCCATAATTATAAAGAATTAAGAAATATGAAAAGATAAATGAGCATCATGATTATGATGCGAAAGAAATTAAAAGACTATTTGTGGCTACTGGTTGCTTAAATTTGGCTGTTACTGTGCTTATTTGAAGAACTGTGATTATTGCATGTGTAATACATATTGAGTATCCCTTATCTGGATGTTTAAGACCTGAAATGTTTTAGATTTTGAAATATTTTCATATAATATATTTTTAGAATAAGGCTTAACTCTAAACACAATTCGTTCATCTTTCATATATGTATACTTTTTACACATAGCCTGAAGGTAATTTTATACAACATTTTAAATAATTTTTTTAAAGTTTTTTTTTTTTAAAGAGAGAATTTTTTAAATATTTATTGTTTAGTTTTCGGTGGACAAAACATTTTTATTTTATTTGTATGTGGTGCTGAGGATCAAACCCAGCGCTGCGCGCATGCCATGCAAACGCGCTACCGCTTGAGCCACATCCCCAGCCCTTAAATAATTTTTGTGTAAACAGTTTTATGGTATGGAATTTTCCATTTAAGGCACCATGACAGTACTCCAAAAATTAACAGCAACCTGGGTTTAAGTATGTAGAAGCTCCCACTGGCAATTAAATCAGACCATTAGTTAGCTAATACAGTCTTAAGGAGATATTTTCAACCTTTTTGAAATATTGAAAATAGATCAAGGATCCTTTATTTGGAAATCATTGATCTAGGAAAATCTCTGTCTTTTACAGATAGATAAAGTGATCTAGTGAGGTGACTTTCCAAGGTCAATACTTAAGCTAATTATACTGCTCTTCTATATTATATAACTATTGTGTGAAAATACGAGTATATGTAACTAATGGGTAGTTTGGCAGAGTGTAGAAATTTAAGCAGAATTAAAAGGTTACTGGTTTGAGTAGTTTTACAACTGTGTGTATATAAATCCAGTGGCCACACTTAAAATTGAAAATCACTTTTGAAAGAATTATTTTTAAATGTGCCCAGGTGTTGTGAAAACAGCTGAACAGGGAGGATGTTACTTTATAGAACGTGTTAACAATAATTTGAATATGTGGTGATGAGCAATTTTTTAAAAAAATTAATAAAATTAATTAAGGTTGGACAATTCTTGTTTGCAAGTAAGATTTTAAAACTATTGAACAGTTTCTTAAAATTTTTCTTTATTTTTGCATAGGCTTCTCCTGGCAATCTTTCTCAGTTTGAAGACATTCTGTTTGGTAACAATGATATGTCAGCTTCCATTGGTGTTGTGGGCGTTAAAATGTCCACAGTTGATGGTCAAAGACAGGTTGGAGTTGGGTATGTTGATACCATACAGAGGAAGCTAGGACTGTGTGAATTCCCTGATAATGATCAGTTTTCCAATCTGGAGGCTCTCCTGATTCAGATTGGACCAAAGGAATGTATTTTACCAGGAGGAGAGACTGCTGGAGATATGGGGAAACTGAGGCAGGTAAGGAATTGGGTCTTAGTGACAGGGAATCTAAGTCTAGGAAACGTTCTTTAGTTCACAATTTGCTGTTTTATTTTTCAAAAAACATAATTTAAAAGTCTCCTCTTTTTTTTTTTTTTTCTTTAATGGTTTGAGACAGGATCTTGCTAGTCCTTAGGGACCTCATTAAGTTGTTGAGGTTGGTGTCAAACCTATGATCCTAGCCTCCTGAGTTGCTGGGATTATAGGCATGTGCCACCCTGTTTGGCCTTGATGTTTATCTTTGAAAGAAATGTAGTTACCTTTAAGAAGATAACAGGCCAATATGGAAATTTTTAGAAAAGAAAAAAAATGAAGAAGTTTAAGAAAAGGATATCAAGCTAGGTACCATGGAGTATGCCTGTTATCCCAGCGATTTGGGAAGCTGAGACCGGAGGATCACAATTTCAAGGCACGGTTAAAAAAAAAAAATGCGGGGGGGATGGGGATGGGGATGTAGCTCTGTCAGTGGTTAGTGCTTGTCTAACATGAGGCTCTGGGTTCTATTTCCAGCACCCAGAATAAGCTCTTGTAAGACTTGTTCTACCTAACATCTTTTCTCAGATCTCCCTTTTTCATGTCCTTTCTGCCTTCCTTCATTCCGAAAAAGTAACCATTACAGTAACTATTATTGCATGATATATTAAATAAATAGCATGTAGTTCTTTAGGATTTCTTTGCTTTTAGTAGAGCTGGGATTCTAACCCGTTCCCTGGAACTTGTTAAACAAGAGCTAAACATGAGTTACACCCTCAGACCTAGTATTACATTTTGATATTTCATGTAGGAATTTTAGTCTCTTATTTTACTGATTCTTTTTATTTTAATCAAATTTTGATTGTTCCATTTACATAGACATAATTGTTTAGGTTTTTTTCAGTACTGGGAATTGAACCCAGTGGCTTTTTTCGCTAAGCTACATCCTAAGCTCTTTATTTATGTACACATATATGTGCACATACATGCATACTGTTTTTTGAGACAGGTTCTCCTTAAGTTGTTGATTTACTGATGCTTACCTTGAACTTGTGATCCTCCTGCCCCAGCCGCTGAGATTGTAGGTGTGTGCCACTGTGCCTAGCCATTTAGATATTTTTATTTTATTTTAATTAGTTAATTTTATTTAATTTTTGTGATACTGGAGATTGAAACTAGGGGTGCTCTACCACTTAGCTATACCCCCAGCTCTTTTTTTTTTTTTTTTTTTTTAATATACCTGGGATTGAACCCAGGGGCACTTAACCACTGAGCCATATCTCCAGCCTTTTTTATTCATTTATCTGTTTATTGGTTGGTTGGTTTTTTTTAAAGATCTAGTCTTAAGTTTTAGGTGGACACAGTATCTTTATTTTGCATTTATGTGGTGCTGAGGATCGAACCCAGTGCCTTGTGTATGCTAGGCGAGCACTCTACCACTGAGCTGGAACCCCAACCCCGCTCCAGCCCTTTTCAATATTTTATTTTAAGGCAGGGTCTCGCTAAGTTGCTTAAGCTGGGTTTCAACTCGTGATCCTCCTACCTCAGCTCCAAAACCACTGATATTACAGACTTGCGCCACATTGCCTGGCCCGTTTAGATATTTTTAAAAGGATGTTTCCCTTAAAGAATTTTTTTCAGTTTGTAGGCCTCAAATACCATAAGAACTTCTATGATATAGCAAATCTATGTTAAACATTTTTAGCACAGATAGTATCTAATGCAGTTTTCCATGAGTAATTATATCTGTTAAGTTTGTACTTTGGGTCTGTAATTTTGACAGTGTTATAGCCACATTACTTCATACTTCAAATTTCCATTAAACTTTATATATTTAAAACATGTATATTATTAAGTAATAATGCCAATGGCTATCACGTGTGTAAAAGTTAATAAATATGGGGCTTGTGTAAAAGTTAATAAATATGGGGCTGGGAATCTAGCTCAGCTGTATTGTGTTGCCTAGCATGAGCAAGGTGCCAGGTTTGATCCCCAGTACTCCACCCCCCAAATTAATATGGATTAATATCTATTAAACGGTTGTCACTTTATATTTGTCAGTGTTAACAGCTTTTCTTTTATCATAGTATTTTATAGTATTTTTTATAAAATAGGTTATTCAGAGAGGAGGAATTCTGATCACAGAAAGAAAAAGAACTGACTTTTCCACAAAAGACATTTATCAGGATCTAAATCGGTTGTTGAAAGGCAAAAAGGGAGAACAGATGAACAGTGCTGTCTTGCCAGAAATGGAGAATCAGGTATGTTGATTATTAAATGTGAATTTATTCTTAAATTATAATAGTCACTTTTTAGAAGGTTAACTTTGTGCACTTATATCAAAACCTAAACTGTATATCATTGATATTTAAGCTAATTTCCAAGGAAATGATGGAAAATTTTAAACATAATCCTAAATATAAGTTAATTATATTTAAATGAAGAATATCCCTGGGGTATGGAGGGATTTTAGTAGTTTCACATGAGAGAGCTTGATCACCCATCTCAGCTTTATTATTTACCAGCTCTTGGTGTCTTCAATAAATTACTTCACCTTTCTGACAGAGCAGTTTCATTATTGTTAAATTAGTTTATGGAGATTAGTAGGTAATAAAACTGGAAGTTTGTGCAGTACATAATAATTGGATAATAAATGGTACATTTAAGCAATTGAACTAAAAAATTGGCTTGAGTTGTATATGTTCATTGGTGAAAATGAAGATGCTACAGTGTAACTTTCAGTTGGAGTTTCTGTTGCTGGTCAAATCTTAGATGTGTGCATGGCTTTAGAGATGTATTTTTTAGGTAAAATATTGGAAAGTCTTGACTGGATATTTGTGGATTCCTTGTAACAGCCCATGCATTAGTTATAGACTTTAGCAAATAGAGAAAGATAAATGTTATTAAGTAGGAAAAATGGGTACACTAACAATGAAGCTAGTGTTAAGTATATTTTACTTTCTTTCTTTTCTTTTTTTAATGGTTCTAAGGGGGGATTTAACCCATGCCATCACACATGCTAAATACACAGTCTACTATTGAGCCACATCCCTAACCCCTCAAATATATTTTAATAAGTTTAAGTTGTCACTTGATATCAGTTTGATGTATTCAACTTTTTGTTTTCTGTTATAGTGATAACTTAGGCAAAAGGATATATATAAATAATTTAAACTTACTTTGTTTAAATATGCATACGGAGGTGTTAGGGTTGTGGCTCAGTGGCAGAGCACTTGCCTAGCATGTGTGAGGCACTGGGTTTTATTCTCAGCACTGCATATAAGTAAATAAAGGTCCATTGATAACTATAAAATATTTTAAAAATAAATGAATATCCATATAGGAAAGTACTTATACCATAAGTATATAACTGAATTTTCTTAAAACTGATCATACCTATACATGAAACAGAATAATAATGGAACCCTAGAAGCTCTTCTTATGCTTCCTTTCCCTACCAGCAATAACCTTGGTTCTAATCTTTAATAGAATAGATTAGTTTTGCTTTTTTTTTTTTTTGAACCTAGGAGTGCTTAACCGCTGAGCCACAACCACATACCTTTTTATTTTTATTGAGACAGGGTCTCACTAAGTTGCTAAGGCTGGCTGTGAACTTTTGATCATCCTGCCTCACAGTCTCCCAAGTCACTGGGATTATAGGCATGTGACACCACACCTGACAGTTTCTCCTTACCCTCCAAAGGCATAGAGAAGTTTATTTAGGAAAGTAGATACATATTCAAGAAGAATAGGGCAATCTCAAGAAAGACGCCTTTGGGGCAAAACAAGGAATACACCTTCTTGAGTGCTGGCTATCTCCAGAGGGAGAGAGTCCACGCTGGCAGTTTTGCCTATTTTTGTAGTCTATATAAAGGGAATCATGACTTTCTTTCAAGTCTATTTTTTTCCAGTCATTATTATGTTTGTAAGATTTATTTATACTGTTTGAGTTCGGCGATTTTGGGGGGATGGGGGTGGTGGTTACTGGGGAATGAACTCAAGGGTACTTGACAACTGAGCCACATCCCCAGCCCTATTTTGTATTAAAAAAAAAAAATTTTTTTTAGAGACAGGGTCTCACTGAGTTGCTTAGTGCCTCGCTTTTTGCTGAGAATTAGAGGGTGTGCCACCATGCCTGGCTTATGTTCAGTTTTATTGTGTTGTACTTCATACTGGAAACTTGCCAGCGTTTATCCATTTTAGTGTTGATGGGCATTTGAGTAATTTCCATTTTTTACTGTTTTATTATTTATGGTACTGGGGCTCATGCATATTAGGCAAGTGCTCTACCACTGAGCTACATCCCCAGCCCTTAGCTATTTTAAATAATGCTAGTATTTCAAGTAATTTTCACTTTCTAAAAATTGCTTTCTAATCTTCATAGATGTATTTAAACTTTTTTTAATATTTATTTTTTAGTTGTAGTTAGACACAACACCCTTATTTACTTACTTACTTACTTACTTATTTATTTATGTGGTGCTGAGGATGGAACCCAGGGCCTCGAATGTGCTAGGCGAGTGCTCTACTGCTGAGCCACAACCCCAGCCCCATATTTAAACTTTGATTTTCTTGGTTCATATGGGGGAGGAACACCAAGGAAAATGATAGTACTCAGAGTTTATTTTCATTCTTCATTTTTTTTCCTCTCTAGAAGTAGTCCTACTTGTATAGAAATCTTTCATTTTTAATTCTTAATTTTAGGTTGCAGTTTCATCATTGTCTGCGATAATTAAGTTTTTAGAACTCTTATCAGATGATTCAAATTTTGGACAGTTTGAACTGACTACTTTTGACTTCAGCCAGTACATGAAACTGGATATTGCAGCAGTGAGAGCTCTTAACCTTTTCCAGGTAAAACGTGTGTGTTAAAATTATTAAATAGCTATAAAATGTTTTCCTTTTGTAAATACTGAAAAATCTTATTAAGGAATATGAATGTTTTGAAATATTATTATACTTAGAATATATAAATAATTTTGAATTGTTCTAATTTATTTTTCTACTTCCTAGCTATATATAGATATTTGTCCTAGCATTATGAGTCATTTTGTATATTAACAGAAGTTCTTTAACATTACATTTTGAGATGTTTTTATGTCTAAAATTGCAGTAATTATAAGTGATTTTAGTTTGAGGGAAAATGTATAGTTGAAAATACAGAAAAACAGGTTGAAAGTTGATCTCAGTAGAAGGAATTTTTATTGAAATTTCTCATTTTATATTTGAAGAGTATTATATGTTCTTTCTCCAAAATTGTTGAGTTATTTTTCATGGCATAGTTTATTTTTCATTAATGGAGTGTGGCATTATTTTATTTTTTGTTCATAAGGGTTCTGTTGAAGATACTTCTGGCTCTCAGTCTCTGGCTGCATTGCTGAATAAATGCAAAACTCCTCAAGGACAAAGACTGGTTAACCAGTGGATTAAGCAGCCTCTCATGGATAAGAAGAGAATAGAAGAAAGGTATTATTGGTGTGCACTTGTGTCACCTTCAAGTAATTGCAGTTATTTCATATGAAGCCATTTAACTGCATAGAAAGCTATTTATCAATAGAGTATTAATCATTTAGATTAATTAAAGAACTTATTTCCTTAAATAAGGTTTTTTAAACTCTAAAAACATAAAAATTTATTAGGTTTTGTTTGTTTGTTTGTTTGTTTTGGTTTATTTTAAAGCATAAGAGCCAGTTTGGTTCAAACTGAATTTTAGGCAGGTTACTCAATGTGTACTTCATAGGGTCGTTAGGATGTGTATAGAAGACTTTCTTTAAAAAAAAATTTTTTTTTTAAATTTTTATTATGGGGGGTGGAGTACCAGAGAGTGGACTCACATCCCAGCCCTATTTCTTATTTTAGAGACAGGGTCTCACTGAGTTGCTTAGTGCCTTGCTGTTACTGAGGCTAGCTTTGAATTCACAATCCTCTTGCCTCAGCCTCCAGAGCCAATGGGATTACAGGCATGAGCCACCATGCTGGGCTTGTTCTTTTTAGTTAGGGCTTATTCTTTTTAGTTATACACCATCATAGAATGTATTTGACCTATGAATTTTCAATAGGGTCTGACACATGGGAAGCATTTACTCTTCTTTATTCTAGAAAGGATTGAAGGTGACCTAAACATATAATTTTTAAGGCTAGGGCTATAAGTTCAGTGGTACAGTACCTAGCATTTGGCCTAGAGTTTGATCCCTAGCACTGGGGTTGAGGGTGGGAAGAAGTCTTTGAAAATGAAGAAATAAAAAGATGATTCCATGGGGCTGGATTTGTAGCTCAGTGGTAGAGTGCTTGCCTAGCATGTGTGAGGTACTGGGTTTGAACCTCAACACCAACATTTAAAAAAATAATAGTAAATAAAAGATTAAAAGAGTCAAGGGGTGTCCGCAGAGCCGTGGAACAGCCTTCAGTCACTGCCGCCATGGGAATGCAGGTGGAGACCACCTCCCCCGAGACGGGTGTACCTTCCCAAAGCACGGCCAGACCTGTGTGGTGCACTACACCAGGATGCTTGAAGATGGAAAGAAATTTGATTCTTCCCAGGACTGAAACAAGCCCTTTAAGTTTATGCTAGGCAAGCCGGAGGTGATCCGAGGCTGGGAGAAGGGGTGGCCCAGATGTGTGTGGGTCAGAGAGCCAAACTAACCATCTCCCCAGACTATGCCTATGGGCATCATCCCACCACATGCCACTCTGGTCTTCGATGTTACGCTTCTAAAACTGGAGTGACAGAGTGGCTCTTCTCTCAGCTCCCTGTTCTTGGATCTGCCTTGGAGGCATCCGGGCATAATCCTTGCGGAACTTTCCTTGGCATCCCACTACACTTTGTATAAACATCTACTCTGAATATGTTCTGTTACTCAGCTTTGCTTCTGATACCTCCATTTCCTCTTCCCCTTTATCCTTGTATGTGTGTTTACCTAAACTATATGCCATAAACTTCAAGTTAGTCGTTTTGTTTTTATTTTGGGGTGAAGATTCAGTTTTAGTCTTTTGGATCTAGGTTTCCATTTAAGTACCTTGACAGGTATTAACAGCACAAATGATGGGTTAACTTTAGAATAGGAATTGGTGTTAGGGGAGATGAGGTTTGCAAGAATATTTTATTTTGGGGCATGAAATTTTTATCTATTATGTATAAAACATTCTTGCTGCTGCGCTGCAAAGCCATAACAGATTTGAGACGCTGTGGAGGGCTGAGCTATTCTCCAATGTGAGAAGTGTCCTTGGGTAAAATTAAAAGCCCTACCCAAAACTGCAGTGGGGAGGGGAGAGCCTTTACCTCACCAGCCCTGCCAGCCCTGCCACCCTCCCCTGAACCCATCTTCCTTTTGAAAGAAGATCACTTTCACTGTGATTTTGGACACTACAGGTATCTGTCCCTGGGCCAGGGACCTCTGAAGGCACCTTTGTGACCTGGCTGGTTTTGGTTTTGGATTTTTTTTTTTTTTTTTAGTATTTATTTTTTAGTTGTAGTTGGACACAGTATCTTTGTTTTATTTATTTATTTTTATATAGTGCTGAGGGTCAAACCCAGGGCCTAGCATGTGCTAGGCAAGCACTCTACCGCTGAGCCACAACCCCAGCCCCTGGTTTTGGTTTTTTTAGGTCCCCCCCTTCTTTCTTTCCTCCATCTTGTGGTTTTTCTAATGGATTTTTAGAACTTTTGTAATATCGAAGTTATTCAAGTTCCACTTTATAAATTTTAAGAACTTTAATTGAAAGTTTAAATTGAAGGTATTATTTATAGGCTTCAACACCCAATGAAAGCCTGGCCTTTGTGACACATCCTTGGGTGTTCTCTCAGAAAACGCTGCTGGCCACTGCAGCTTCAGCATCCCCTGTCTTTTGATACTTGGCTCTCTGCCAATTTCCAGGTTTCCTGTCTTTTTGTCCCTCAGCCTCTTACCCTTTGCTGTCCAGTGTAATGATTTGGTGAGAGAAATTGTTGCTTTGTCCTGGCTTCCCCCACATCATGTATGAGTTTCATATTTTGCTATTGCAATAAAAGTGCTTTATGCTGGCTTTTCCGAAAGAAAAAAAAAAGATGAATATGCTACTCTAATATGACTAATGCTTGGATACAGTTTAGTACAGTTTATCTTTGTTTAGATAGACATTTAAAAACTTTTAAATGAAGTATAATATACATAAGAGCACAAATCCTAAGTGTATATCTTGAATTTTCACAAAGTTAACATATCTGTGTAACAAGCCAGGTCAAGAAAAAATATAACTAGCACCGCCAATCTGCCCATTTTTCATGTTAATTACCATCCCTCCTTATTCTAAGAGTAACCACAGTCCTGACTTCTGGTATCACAGATTGATTATTTTTGTCTGTTTTCTTTAAATAATGTAAAGTTTCTGTTCTCTCTCTTTAAAATTGTTTTTAAAGGAAATGAACAGTAATTAATTTCCAAGGTAATGGTCATTGGTTTTATAGGGTATTTAAAAAGTGGTTTTCTTCTGGCTTAAACTATAGACATGGCTAGTAAACCTGAGATGTCACTCACATATTACTACTATAGTAACATTATTTGGAAGGCAAGCTATGAAAATCTGATCCCTCACCCCCATAAGTAAAGTTAGTTTTGTAGAACAAAGTAATAATTTTCAAAATCTGATTGTCTTGTTTTGCAATGCTGAGGATTAAACCCAGGGCCTCATGCATGGTGGGCAAACATTCTACCTTTGAGCTATACCCTCTGGTACACATACCAAATCTGGTAGTCTTGACAAGTGGAGGAGACTTATTTATTAGAAATAACATCTAGGAGTGTAGCTTTATAAGTTAGAATTTTATCTGCTGACTAACTCAAGTGTATGGTAAAAGAAATACTTTTTTTTCCTTCTTGGTGAGAATTTTTTTTTTAACCAGCAAATAGGAAAGCCTGTGATTTTTCAAGGCCAAGTATGGAAATTCCACAGAGTAGGAAGATCAAGTTACATTCTTGTTGTTTGAACAATCTCCTTGTTTTTATCACCCTTTCATAACTCTACTTGATGTGGTAACCCCATATTTCTTAGTTTAAGCCATTCTGGTAATCCTCAAATCTGTTTTGTCTCTAAATCTTTTGATCTTCCTTCAGGATTACAGGGGGAAAAAATCAGATTTCTCTTTTCTTTCCTTGCTCTCTCACAATCCCTCCCTCCCTCCTTTCCTTTCTCATCTGACCCAAGGCCTTACACAAGTTTTTGTTTCTTACTGTCATTGTTTTGGGGTGATTTTTCAGGAGGGAAGGTACTGGGGATTGAACCCAAGGGCACTTTACCCACTGAGCCACATCCCTAGTCCTTCTTTTTTGGGGGGTGGGGGTATTGGGGATTGAACTCAGGGGCACTCAACCACTAAGCCACACCCCCAGCCCTATTTTCTATTTTATTTAGAGAGAGGGTCTCACTGAGTTGCTTAGCATCTTGCTTTTTGCTGAGGCTTGCTTTGGACTCAAGATTCTCCTGTCTCAGCCCCCTGAGCCACTAGGATTACAGGTGTGCGCCACCGTGCCTGGCCCTTTTATTTTTTATTTTGAAACAGGATCTTGCTAAGTTGCCAAGGGCCTTGCCACGTTGCTGAGACTGGTTTGAACTTGGGAACCTCCTGCCTTAGCCTCCTGAGTGACTGGGATTACAGGTGTGCGCCACTTTATGTGACTTTTTAATTACTGTAAAGAGGTTAGGATTTAGCAAGGCCCTGAATCAACTTACCAAGACCCTGTCTTAAAATAAAAATTTAAGTGGGCTGGGTATGTAGCTCAGTGATTAAGCACCCCTGGGTTCAATCCCTGGTACCAAAAAAAAAAAAAAAGATTAAGAGAAGGTGGAGTGATACTGGTGTTTACTATGTCCCTGATACTTTGTAAGCAACCTACATTTGGTTTTAATATGGTGGAGAGTAGGTTTAAATTTCCTGGCTGATTCTAGAGCCAGCCTATTCCCCTTTTTTTTTTTTTTAGTTGTGGATAGACATTTATTTATTCTTATGTGGTGCTGAGGATTGAGCCCAGTGCCTCACACGTGCTAGGCAAGTACTGTACCACTGAGCTACAACCCTGGCCTTCATCCCATTATCTTTGTACTATATTGCTCCTTTCAGTTCTATTTAATTTGATTCCAATTGTATTTTTTTTTTCCTTGCAGCCTTATAAATATGTTGTCCTACATTTTCATTAAACTCTTCTAAAGATAAACCAGATATACTGGTTTTAAAGAAATGACAGAACGTTGACTTTAAAAATATCTAGTTTCATGGTTAATTTCATAATTAGTTGAAATTTCAGGGATTAATGATCTTAAAATCTTACCTTGTATACCAGTCAATTTGTAGGTGAGTACTGTTTCAGTTTGTATACAGCTGAGATATTTCATTCAGATTGATGGTATAGGATGTTATGTCAATAGTAACTTTGACACTTCTGAAATTGTGATTTGCAAGTGGCATTGTCATGGAAACAGCTGAGCAGTCTTCTTTTTTCTTTTAGCTAGAAACATAAACTGACACTGTAATTATTTCTGAAATGGTATACTGAATAGACTTGTGAAACTAGCAATTTATTAAACTTTACATGATATCTGAACCAAAGACTGAAGGGGAGTGTATATTGCTTTGTGGGGTTTTTTTTTTTTTTTTTTTTTTGTTGTTGTTGTTTTGTGTTTTTTTTTAAAAAGCTTCCACAGTTTCTTTGCTTAAGGGCTGGAGATATAGCTTAGTGGCAGAGTGTGTGGCCCTGGGTTCAATCCCCAGCATTGCAAATAAACAAATTAAAAAAATAATTTCTTTGTTCATTTTATTTCTTTCTTAATGCTCTTATTGGAACTTTATAAATGAAAATTGGGAAATAACTTGAAGTTCATTTTTTAAGTTAGAAATTACCCAATGTAAGACTGACATATTCCTTTGGATATTATAATTACTATATATATGGCTTTTTAATTTGGTGGCTTAGGAAGGAAAGGAGGAGGATGGTTGTTTGTGAAATTTTGAAAATTGTTAGAAAATGAGTGTGGGTATAGTATGTGTGAAGTCAATTTTAGAGAATTTGTCCATGGCAAAGGAAGACTTAATTCATGATAAAGATTTGTTCAGGATAAAACATTTTGAATCATTTGGAAGTGGTTTGAATGTCTTTAAGATCATTTAGCATAAGCTAGAGATATCACCTTTATTCATGGGCTTTGGGGAAATAACACAGAGGAAAAAGATTATGTATCTTCAATGTAGGAAGTTTTTGTTCTCAGAAGTACTTGTCAATGGTGCATCTCTTTGTTGGTTTTTTTATTTATTTAATCTTTATACTCCCTGTTTCCCGGTTCACAATACTACCATCCTGGGGTTTTTTAGAACCCCTCTCCCACTGGTTTTCTGTTATTCAAGTTTGCTTATAGTTTTTGGCTATTTTTAAGATTCAAATAAGAAGTTACACTGTTGCTGTTTGAGAGAAAGAAGTTTATAACTTTGTTGGCAAACAGATTTGTGAAAGTATAAAAGTGCATTTATGGTTCTTTGTTAATGGCTCCTTATCATTGCTGTCTCAGAATTTAATTATTATTTTTTGGACCGGCGATCGAACCCAGTGGTGCTTAGTCACTGAGCTATATACCCAGCCCCTTTATAGAATATTTTATTTTGAGATAGGGTCTTCCTGAATTGCGTGGGCTGTCCTTGGGATCCTCTTGCCTCAGTCTCAAATTGGGATTACAGTTGTGTGCCACCACGCCCAGCATTTAACTTTTTATTTACTTAAAAATGTCTGCATGGTCATTGTTTTTAAAAAAAGACAAATAAGAAAAGCATTCACTCTACTTGCTCATGGTGGTAGTCACTTTTAACAGTTTAGTATATCTCCTTATCATCTAGGTCATGCACCTGTGCGTACGCAGAAAAAATAGATACCTTAAATAATATCAGGTCATGTAAATACAACTTGCTTTTTTTTCTTATCTTTTTTGTCATCCTGGACATTGAACCCAGAGTCTCATGAATGCTAGGTAAGAATTCTACCACAGAGCTTTACCTACAACTTGATTTTTTTTCTCTCTCTTTTTTTTCTAAATAATATCTTCAGGGTTATTTGTTTTGTTTTTCTAGTATTAGGAATTGAACCCAGGGTGCTTTATTGCAAGCTATATCCCCAACCCTTTTTATTTTATTTATTCACATTCATTCATTTATTTTTGGTACTGGGGATTGAACCCAGGGGTGCTTAACCACTGAGCAACACCTCCAGCCCCACCCCCGTTTTTTAAAAAAATTCTGTGAGAGGTTCTCACTAAGTTGCTTAGGGCTTTGCTAAGTTGCTGAAGTTGGCTCTGAACCTTTGATCCTCCTGCCTAGTAGCTTCCCTAGTAGCTGGAATTACAGATGTGTGCCACCATACCCAGCTATAAGGTTTGTTTTCCATTTTATTATATATCTATTGCATTTAAGATAATTTTAATTTCTAGACATTTTGTGAATGGGTAAGATATCATGTGATATAAAACAGTTCTGAGAGGCACAAAATTGACTTTTTCCTTTACACAGAACTGTTTCAGTTCACAGGTGGGAATATACAGACACCTTTTTTATATAGGGAAGAAAAGAATTTACTTATTTCAGTGGTGTTCATTACATATGAGAACTAGAATGGGTAAGATGCATAAGAAGATTCTCATCAGAAATGTATTCCCTATGGCTTTTGTTGTTTACCTGAGAATGTCCAAGGGTTATAGGAGTTTAGAGAAGGAAGAGAGAAAACAGATGAGGGTGTAGGTCAGCCAGCAATGGGTTTCTTTCATTCTTTTTTTTTTTAAACCTCCCCTTGCTTTATTTAATATTTATTTTTTAGTTGTAGTTGGACACATTAATTAATTAATTAATTTATTTATTTATTTATTTATTATGTGGTGCTGAGGCTTGAACCCAGGGCCTTGCATGTGCTAGATGAGTGCTGTACTGCTGAACCACAACCCCAGCCCCTCGAAATAATTTTGATGCTGGTGATCCTTGAATCAAACTTGGAGAAACCCAGTTAAAGGCCATGACTTAGCTAGGAATTGGATTGTGTGACTTAATTACATCCATTATTTGCTTTTTTTTTTACATATCTAGATGCCATTGAAATCTTTTGGAGAACTGGCTGTGGTGGTACATATCTCCGATCCCAGATACTAGGGAATCTAAGACACGAAAATCCAAGTTCAAGGCCAGGCTTGCAGCTTAGCAAGACCCTGTGTCAAAATAAAAAGACTGAAGTTGTAACTCAGTGGCATAGCGCTTGACTAGCATGTACAAGGCCCTGGGTTTGATCCTCAGTGTTATAAAAACAGAAAAGAAAAAGAAAAGCTTTTTGGTTTTTGGTTTTGGTACCAGGGATTGAACCCAGGGGTTTAACCACTGAGTCACATCTCCAGCCCTCTGTTATATTTTATTTAAAGAAAGGGTCTTGTTGAGTTGCTTTAGCATCTGACTAAGTTGCTGAGAGCTGGCTTTGAACTGGAGATCCTCCTACTTTAGCCTTCCAAGTCACTGGGATTATAGGCATGTGACATCACTCCTGGCTCAAGTTCCTTAAACCAGTGGTTCTCAAAGTGGAACAGTTTTCTCCCCATACTCCAGGAGATGTTCATATATGTCTACAGATAGAAGCCAAGGATACTGTTAAATAAGCACAGAATAGGCTGTTACAACAAAGAACTAACTAGCCTGAATTGTCAGTATTACTGAGAGTCAGAAACCATGCTTTCAGATATATGGTCATTAAATGATTACTCCGAGGGTAGAATATTTTTTCCCTCAAATAACAAGCTGGCACGAACATTTTGATGCATGAATTATAAACTCTGATGGAGAGATCAATAAGTAGTTTAGAGGTTAGAAAGCTGATTTGTTTCCTTTTCCTGTAGTTGTTCATCAGACAGCATTCAGAATCAAATAATTCATTGTACCCGTGGTCTCCAGAAAGCTTCTCTAAAGCTATTGCTAGAGATATATAACATGTACAGGAATTTTTTTTTATTATTTTTTTCTCTTCTCAGTACCAGAGACTGAACCCAGGGACACTTAACCACTGATCCACATCACCAGCCCCTTTTTATATTTTATTAGAGACAGGGCCTCACTGAGTTGCTTAGGGCCTTGCTAAGTTGCTGAGGCTGGGTTTGAACTCATATCCTCCTGCCTCAGTCTCCTGAGTCACTGGGATTACAGGTATTCGCCACCGCACTGGGTATTTTTCTTATTCTTTTTCCCTTTGTTCTTGAGTTTGAACCCTGGTCCTCTTGCATGACTAACCAATTGCTCTACCATTGAGCCCAGTCCCAGGAATAATTTTTCCTATCTTCTGTTAACAATTTGCCTTTCATCTGTTAGTTAAGTAATACATACAACATTGTTTTTCAAATGGCAAGTTGTGACTCAGAGGTGGGTTGGAAATTTAGCATTGTAGGTGATAAAACAGTTTTTTTCTTTCTTTTGAGTCCTGGAATCAACCCAAGGTCTTAAGCATGTCACTAACACTGAGCTACACTTTCAACCCTGAAGAGCATTTTTGACAAGAAAATGAAAATAACAGCACATTACAGTAGAAGTGGAAAGCCTCTGATTTCCGACAGATTTCAAAAGCAGTATGTACTACATATTCTAGTTTTTGAAACAGACATGTTATTTATTGACTTTGTCTGACAAGAGATAATTTAAAAAAGTATTCTAAAAATTAAAAAGCTTCTGATAAAATATAGGATTTGACAGTACTGCTGAACTGTAATTTTGTTTAAGTATCACTGTTTACATGTAAAACAATGTGTTAGCAACAGTCTTGTCCCAGTAATGAAATTCATCAATTTAAGAAATATCAGTTCGAAAGGGTGTGTGTTGGTTCATGCTGTAGTCCCAGAGACTCAGGAGGCTGAAGCAGGAGGGTTGCATGTTTGAGGCCAGCGTTGGCAATAGAGAGACCTGTCTCAGAATTTTAAAAAGGGCTCCAGGGTTCAATCTCCAGTACCTGTGGTGAGGATGGAAGATGGGGGGGGTAGTAAATTGGATGAAAGTAAAAAAAAAAAATTGGGTATGTCTCAGTATCTTATGGTACTACTTGATGATTTGTTATCTAACCAGGAAATTTTTGACTCAGCCCTATGGAGCCTTTTTACCCTCTTTTAAAAAAGCTAACAGTTTAGAATATATTCAGGCTTTTTACAAATGGGATTTTTGAGTTTGTTTAATTTGGACTTAAGAGCCTAGTTGACAGATTGGTTTTTTTGTTTTTTTTATTTTGGGGGGATGCTTAGGATTGAACCCAGGGCTTCGCACATGGTAGGCAGGCAATCTACCACTGAGCTACATCCTCAACCCTTGGTGACAGGTTTAACTTTACATTAAAATATTTACTATTCATTTTCATGTAATTAATTTCAGATTAAATTTAGTGGAAGCTTTTGTAGAAGATGCAGAATTGAGACAAAGTTTACAAGAAGATTTACTTCGCCGATTCCCAGATCTTAACCGACTTGCCAAGAAATTTCAAAGACAAGCAGCAAACCTTCAAGATTGTTACCGACTCTATCAGGGCATAAACCAACTCCCTAATGTTATACAGGCTCTGGAAAAATACGAAGGTAACATGATTTTGTTTTTTGTTTTCCTTCACTCTTACCTGGCAGATGTTGGTGCTAATGACTCCCACTTACCACACATTGTTTTTCTGATAGTTTTGTATTAATATATGCTTCGTGGCAGGAGATATCATGGGGCATCCAGCACCCACCAGGATAATTTTCCTGCTCAGGAGTGATGAGCCACCCGAGAAAAGAAAGTCTGAGATAATTAATGGAGAATTAAGAGCCAAAGCCAAATATTAAATTCAAAGATGGGGGGTGCCTGATAGTTTCTCCAGTCCACATAGGAGCTAGAACAGAACAACTAGAAAATGGTTCTGGTCCTTTATTTAAGGGAGAGTACATCAAAGGCAGGGATAGTGTTTCAGCAGGTGGAGTCTTGTTTCATGATGGCTTTCGATCAACAGGTTGATTGGCATCTTGGAAAGCCACACCCATCTCTGAGAGGCTGTGTGTCTATGTGGCTCCAGCAGATTACTCAAACTCCAGTGCAATGCTGAACCTGGCAGGGCTAGGTAGAATATCACGTATATTGGATAGTCTCAAACCAGCAGGAGTGCCACTGAAAGTTCCCAGATACTAGGCTTCCCTACCTAGTGGCTTCCATGCTAATTTGGTTCACGCAGAGTTCATGGATGTCTTCCGACAATGAGACAAGTTAGAATTTTTGTTGTTTTAAAAATAAATTTTAAAATTACTGCATTTATTATTAATGGGTTAATTGCACTAGTAGTGGCAGTTAAATAGGATTTGATTACTAAAGAAAACTCAGGACTCATAATGACAGTACTTAGAATTGTATAGTTTACAATATTATAGGGAAAGGAGAAAGTCCAGCAACACCATTAAAGTAAAGATGTATATCATGGCTAAAAGCTGTCATAGTCAATGTCTTTCCTTTTGAAAAGTTCATGGTGGTGTGCACTTTTTCAAGATATGGGTGCAGAACACCTTGGAACCAGGGATCCCAAAGTAGAGTCTTGGGTAGACTATATTTTTTACTGGTCAAGGGGGTATATTGCCATTTGGTAGCTAGCCTGTGCAGCAGAGCCCTCTGAGGGGAGCCTTTATTGAGAGCAGGTGCAAATCATTTATCACAATAATCAATGCTGATAAACCAAACAAACCGTCCCAAATATCCCTGGACGCATAATTATAAAATAGCCATATTAATCAGTGTTTCATCCCTTGGCCAGCAGTCCTTGCCATGAAAGAATCTTAACAATATAGAGCAGGCAAAGCCAGGCAGAGTGGTATATGCCTGTTGTCCTGGCTACTTGGGAGGCTGAGGTGGATCACTTAAGTTCTGGGATCAGCCCAGCAACACAGTGAGGACCCATCTCAAATCTCTATCCCATCAAAAGCCCAGCAGACTTATTTCAGACCTGCCAGAATTAACCCCCACAGCACACCTATGACAGAAAGTTATGGCAAAAAAAGTGCTCTCTTAGCAGTAGAGGTTGAAACAAATTCAAGTAAAGTGATCAATGTCACTCACTTTAATCAACATACAGTTGATTAATATATTATTGGTTAATAAAATGAAAGTTGCTTGACAAATGTAGCTCCCCCAACCTCCTTAGTACTGGGCATCAAACCCTGGTGCTTTACCATTGAGCTATATCCACAACTCTTTTTATTTTTTGAAGCAGAGTCTTGCTAAGTTGCAGAAATTGGCCTCAAACTTGAGATCCTCCTTGACTTGGCCTCCTGAGTCACTGGAATTATAGAAATGTACCATTACATCCAGCCAAATAATTTTAATTAAGTAAATGTGAGTTTCTGCAACAACTTTAGTTATTATTGTGTTATTATATTTAATATATAAAGCATTTTAAGCTTTAGTTAAAAGTCTGCATCCATTTGAACTATTAAAACATACCTTAGGGGCTGGGGATGTAGCTGAGAGGTAAAGTGCTTACTAGCATATGTGAGGCCCTGGGTTCATTTCCCAAAGCCACAAAACAAAAATATATCTTTTAAGTGTTATGGGAACTTTATTTATTTATTTAATTTCTTTTGGTGCTGGGGATTGGACCCAGGGCCTTGTGCATGCCAGGCAAGCACTCTATCAACTGAGCTATATCCCCAGCCTTATATTTTGTTTTTATTTTGCAGACAGATTTAAAGAAATTGAACTTTATGATGACAGAATACATAACTATAGATTCAACTTAAATTTTATGGTGACCCTTTTCCCTATCTAACATAAAAGGTAGCTAAGTGCTTATCCTCTCATAGTACCTGTGTTATAAAGAATATTACCATTCTGGTCAAGAATCTTTGTTAGACTGGTAAGACTTTGAGCCCTTGCATTTAGTTGCACCAGTGTTGAATTAAATAAAATGGGTCTTGAAACTTTCCTGCTCCACACTTCTTTAGTTTTGGCTTAGCCAGTCACTTATTTTCTTTTCCTCTATCCTATAAATGAATATCTTTTACTTTGCTTTTTTTTTTTTCTTTTTTGATTTTACTTTGCTTTTTTGATTTCATGATCTTTCATCTGATTGCAATAGATTACTGAAAATGAGTTTATTGTCAAGTACTAGATTGACAATTCAAGATTGAACTTGTGTATAAAGAAGATAGCTCTTTAGACAATGCAGTCTGACAACTTAAATCAGCTAATTTGGATCTTTTCTCTTTTCTTGTCTCATGTATCTCCTTCCTCACACAATAAATAACTATCTTTTTATTACTGAGAAAGTACTGGCCTTGAGTGAAGAACTCTCTTAATTTCCTATCTCCCCTCCTGCAGTCACCTGCACAGCATCAATAAGGGATTCTCAAGTAGGGGCAGCTGGAGATGAAAAAACATTGAGACAAAGGAAACACAGACATTATCAAGTAAAGCTGGGGCCAGGTGGGACACTGCACTCTGGAGAAATAGTGACCCAGAACTAGCTCTGCACGTTTATTATATAGGGTCTCATAATCAGGAAATCAAACTATAGGGGCATTGTAAATTGTTTAAGGATTATGAATTGTCTGAGGCTTCTTTGTGCACTAAAAAGTTACAGAGCTAGAAACATTTTTTGCAACTCTACTGTTGAAGGGCTAGGAACATTCTACTGCTCCAGGAAACCCATTGTCCTGGGACATCTGATAACTGTTAGTGTCTGTGCTGAGAGTCAAAGCTAATAATAATCCTCGCCTTTGGCAAGGAATATTTCCCAGGCTTGGCTTTTGCCAATGCTGAAGGATCAGCCAAAGACCAGGGACTCGTTTGCTCTCCACACCCTCCCTATTCCTTTCCTTCTGTATTAGTCAACTCTTTCATCACTGTGACCAAAAGACCAAATAAGAACAATAGAAAAGGAAAAGTTTATTCACACACACACACACACACACAAAAATCTCAACATTTTCATTTTTTATAGCAAACAGATTGACTTCTGTTTTTTTTCCCCCAGTACTAGGATTGAACCCAGGGGCGCTTAACCGCCCAGCCACATCCCCAATTCTTTTTTTTTTTTAATTGAGACAGGGTCTTTCTAAGTTGCTGAGGCTGCCCTTAAACTTTGGAATCTCCTGCCTCAGCCTCCTGAGTTGCTGGGATTACAGGCATGTGCCACTACACCCAGCTGCATTGACTTTAAATCCCAACTCTTCCTCTTCCAATTATATATACTCTTCTGGAATGAAGCATTGGTAGAACTATTTTGTAAATAAGATGGATGTTCTCATGCTTTCTGATTATGTTGATAGAACATGGACAAATAACTTTTATTTTTAGAACCTGGCTTTACCGCATGCCTTGCAGCATTGCTATGTAGTACCAGGGTTAACCTGTCCTTTCATGTTTTATGCTTTAGGGCCGCTGTTATACTTCTATGAACATAGGTTCTGTTGTGCATCTTCTTCCTGAAGAGCCCGGTTTCGATGCAGTTGAAGACCATCTTTGAACATTATTCTGTTCTTCAGCTTCTTCAACTCTGTCAGCAGTGTGGTAGCACTTTTTCATCAGCAGAAGTGGCCTCTTCATTTTCTTTCCAAATTTATCCCTTTATCCATAACCATCCCTTACTTGTAGTTAAGTGGTTCAGTATCACTCCTTTCAGAGGATCCCTTTCTTAAGTCTCTGTATATGCTCAGTGCTTTCTCAGTAATGTGGTGCTGTCATTTGAAGCATGTTTTGTCCGTGTCTTCCACCCAAAAATTTAGTGCTTTTTCATTCCTAAGTGCTTCCCATACAGTGCGGCCATGCTTTTGCTGTTTGAGGTAAAAATAATCATTTTATGGCTTCTCTTTGGCATATATGAATTGCCAGCATCACTACTCTTAGGTTTTGGAGCCTTAGAATTGTAAAATAAATAAGTTGTAAAATAAAAAGTACTTGAACATCACAAGTTGATCTGATAACTGAGATGACTAGTAAGTGACTAATGGGCAAGTAGTTTCTACAATGTAGTTAGCGGGACAAGAGGATGATTCACACCAAGGATGGACTGGCACAGATTTCACACTACTCAGAATACTGTGCGATTTAATCTTTTGTATTATTTCTGGAATTATCCATTTAATGTTTTTGGACCATGGTTGAACATGGGTAACTGAAACAAGCCAAATAAACAAAACCACAGATAGAGGAGAACTGCTGTATACAAAAGCATACATAAACCCTCCCCACAACTCCCAAAGGGAAGAAGTACTGCTCTGCATATTTGGGTGATTTTCCTTGCCCTCTGGGAAAGTTAATAGGAGTTAGGAATTGGGGCTGAGGGTAACTTGGCTTTCTTCCTTATGTTCCTGAACACATGCATGTCTTAATATACCCAATGAAAGTTTTCTAACAGGTCAATAATTCCCTTCTTTTTGGCATTACACTTAAGTTATACAAAACCTATGAGGGCTCATAACATTTGAATCGAGTGCTGCCCATTGTGGGTTTGGCAGCTGATGTTCAATTAAGGTATTTGAAACCACTTAGGCGGGGAGGCATTAGAGGGGGTTATGGTGTTAGAGCTCTCTTCTTCCTCTTGCACAGAATATTTGAGAAT